CTGGTTTATGCAAGCAAGAGTGAATTTTCCATTTGGAATAATGTCCATTTTCAACATCCATGCTATACCCTCAGCTCTTGTAAACTCCTTGTCAAACACACATTAGAGCAAATGGCAGAGGGATTTGAGTACAAAACAAATATGCCAAGAGATGTCAGGCTTACATTAGGAAGCACTTTGGCTTTGCTGAATAACCAGACATAAGCCAGATACTTTTTCTCAATTCATCTATATTACTGAAAAAAAAAAAATCTGTCAGTATATTTTTTGCTCTGGTAAGTATAAACCCTCAGAGTACCAGTTTAAAACTCTGAAATGTAAATACCCATTTTTTAATCAAAGAGTACTACTGAACGAGGTATATAACATGGCTTAGCTTTTCAGAGTTTGAGGAAATTACGAAAGGAAGAAGCTACGATACTGAAGTTGCAATAAAATATGACCTTTCCAAGGCTTGAAATGACATTACATCGAAAAGACACATGAGGGCACCCTAATCAACCACCAAGGAGAAACAGAAAAGAGTAAAATCAGGTTGGCATTTTAACAATCATACTGTAATAGGTGCATCCAGCACCGGTAAAATTTTGAATGCTTGTAATTTATAGCAAGCAATTTTCTGTTTTTGATCCAAGTTCTCGGAAGCCAAAAAAATTCTACAACTCTGTAAATTGCAGAAAAAGAATCTGTGAGAGGTGTGAGAATTTAACTGCACCCTTTTCTGATGATCTGTTAAATGACCTTGGGACAGGATTTATCCTTTTCAAACAAGATCTTCTGTATAATCTACAGCTGCACTTGGTGTTCTACTTGTCCTCCACTGGGAGCAGGCCATGAATTCATTTCTTTGTTCCATCTGTTTTCCCGGGGGTAATGATAAGTTATAAGTGTGAGCCAGTAGAAATGAAACAGCATTTTGGACAAAGGAATACACACCATTGAAGAATTTATTTCAGCGAGTTTTTCAGTTTTAACATTTGTAAATACATACAGCATAAAATTTCCTTCATCAAATTCAGTTAAGTATAATGCAGACTTAAATGACTTTTCTTCCAGACCAGAGAGCAGCAACTCCGCAAAGGCAATCAGGCTCATTTACAAAGGATTATCATTAATTTGAAAGTCACATTCAAATTTGTGCCTCAGCAAAATTATAAATAATTCCCTGTCATAGATCTTTGGGGTCAAATGTAATAGTTAAGATGGGACGTGTTGAAACTTTGAATGCCAGAGGATACAGTGGTTGCATAACAAATCTTGGTTGACTGAACAGGCTAGAAGATGTTCTCCATCTCTAACCATCTGGACAGTATACATGTGGAGCTCTTGAATTTCATATACGCTTATTCACTTTAATCTTTATCTATTTGAATGACTAGCTTCCTTGCCAGGATGTTTCAAACTCACTTCCTGTCAGAATACTTAGTATTTTTTATTCCATTGGCTTTTGATAAGGACTCGAGTGAATTCTAGTTTTCATCATTAGCTGAATTGGCCACTAGGGTATACCCAATTAGGCTCAATCTATACTAATAAGTGAACATGTTCTAAAACATGGTGATTTTTAGAAGACACACTTCCAGTTTTCTTCTTAAAATGATTATGAAGTGGGCGTGGTGGCACATGCCTGTAACCATCCCAGCACACTCTACAGAAGCAGGAGGGCATGAGTGTGAAGCCAGCATGGGCTACAGAGTGAGACCCTGTCCCAAGAAACAAAATAAGGATTCTGCATAACTGAAAATATCAATACATTTCCTCAGCTAAATAAACCTGCCAGAATATTGCACAGTATTATAAATAATAGGAAGCTATTAAAATCCTTTGAGTTGGTACCTAAGAAGGAGCTATCCAAATATAAGGACATTGATGTGTGTGTGTGTGTGTGAAAAGCCACCAAGAAAGTAATGTACAAAAACTTAAAAGAGAACTGTAAAGGTATTCATGGAAGCTATATTTGGATAATAAAAATAGCCTTGCCAGGCATTGGTAGTTCATGCCTGCAATCCTAGCTACTCAGGAGGTTGAGATCTGAGGATTATGATTCAAAGCCAGCCTGGTCAGGAACGCCGGTAAAACTCTTATCTCCAATTAACCACTAGAAAACTGGAATTGGTGCTGTGACTCAAGTGGTAAAGTGCTAGCCTTGAGCAGAAGAGTTCAGGAACAGAGCCAAGGTTCCAAGTTCAAACCCTAGGACTGGCCAAAAAGCAAAAAAAAAAAAAAAAAGTAGCAACTATTATATCTTTACTCCACAGGTTCTCACTTCTTATCTTGTTAACTCTATCCAGAAATCTATCCTCAACAGTATTCACAAACCTTGACAGGCTTTCAGAAATTATGCATTCACTACTATTTGGTAAGGTCTCACTATCTGTCAGGCTCTAGGAATACATATCCTATATTAGAGAGGGCAGATGCAAAGCCAATCATCACAGGTCTTATGAGCAGGAAGTGGGCTGTGGAAGCATCGACCTCTAGGTAACTTTGAAAAGCTGTTTAAACAAAGACCTTAAGTATATAAGACACTAAGACATTAGCCAACCCCTCCCCCCAAAAAGAAGAAAGAGAGAGTTACAGCAGGCAATAGAACACCCTGGAAAATCCCAGAGACAGAAGAGAACAACAGGTTGAGTTCAAGAACTGGAAGATGTGTGCTACAACTGGAACAAAGACTAGGGGGAAGTAGACAAGTATTCTTCAAGCCCAAAGAATAATTCCAAGACTTTATCCTAGTGGAAAGGTAGGTTTTATGGAACTCTACCACTTAAAAGAACTGTTGAGAAACCCAGCAGAAGACGGATTTGAGAAGGCAGGGAAACTATTTAGAAGGTCTTATTGAATACCAAGTGTCCAGTGAAAAGAACTAGTGTAAAGGCAGCAGTAGGGAAAATGGAGAAAAACAGACCCACTTGAGAAACTTTCATTAAGGAAGTAAAACCAACAAGAAGTGGTCCTAGGTTGTGTGTGGGAAAGGTACTTTGGAAAGTCATAATCTCATAAACAAGATTGTGCTCAGTAACATGTATTTCTTTTTGTTTTATGGGGGTATCATTGGGGATTGAACTCAGGGCCTCATGTGTGCTAGGCTGGCATTCTACCACTTCAGCCACGTCTCCAACCTCTTCTTGTTTTGGTTATATTTGAGAAAAGAGTCTCTTACTACGCCCAAGGCAGCCTGGGCTGAGATTCTCCTAATTACGTTTCCTATGTTGCTGGAGAGGACAGGTGACATTGCATCCAGCCCCTGCACTTCTCCGACTGGTGGGATAATAGGCAGGTACCAATGTACCCAGCCATTGGCTGAGATGCAGTCTTGTAAATTTTTTTTTTTTTTGGTCCAGTCGTGGGGCCTTACCTCTGGGCCTGAGTGCTGTCCCTCAGCTCTTCAGCTCAAGGCTAGTGCTCTACCACTTGAGCCACAGCGCCACTTCCGGCTTTTTTCTTTTTTTGCTTATGTGGTGCTGAAGAATCGAACCCAGGGCCTCAGGCATACAAGGCAAGCGCTCTACCACTGAGTCAACTTCCCAGCCCCAGTCTTGTAAATTTTTATACCAGGACTGACTTCAAACTATGACATTCCCCATCTCCACCTTCTAAGTGGCTAGGATCTACACACACACACACACACACACACACACACACACTTATATATATACCTACATATATATGATCAAACTCAGGCCTTGTGCATGCTAGTCAAGCCCATCAGCCCTGGAATACATTTTCAGCCCCTTTGATATATAAACACAATCTCATATTCCTGAAACAGCATATAATGTTAAAATTTGTAGGCTACTAGGCCAGGAGGAAACTTATTTAAACCTTCAGTAGGTACAGAAGTCAAACAATGCAAGCTCTGGTATGTTGGCAGGAATTCTATATTACAGATCACCTTTCAACTACCCAGTGAGTTTTAGTATACAATATATGGTTTGAAAGTGTATCAATAGAACCCTTCCCGTTCCTCTGAAGTATCTTTAGATTCTGAAAGGACAAAATTAATTTTTATTATTTTTATTCCATGTTTCCAGCCCTCTAAAACAATTAGGCAGATTTCGCAAAGAAATGTAAAGCAAACCCTGGCTGGCTCTCCATTACCCTCACAAATAAACTTACAGAAAAACTGAACAACTGAACCTGTGTTCTTCTCTGAGGTCGTTTCTTTGTTTACCGATCACAGACAGTACATTGGCAATAACTTGGGCTGCAAGAGCGTGGATTTTAAGAAGGTCGAGACGCGGTATTTCACACCCGTTTTCTACCCTCCTCATTATGCCTTTACTAAGTCAGGAGACAAAACAACGTGTTGGCACTAGGCGCACAATCAGAGTAACAGGCTCAACACACAAGTCTGAAAAGTTTTCCAGCAAGCCACGTCAGAGGCAGGAACCGAGGCGGGTTCCACCGCGTCCCGTCTCCCGCGGGCCCCACATCCCCAGTCACCAATGCCTCGGCCCCGCGCTCAGCCCGGCCCAAGCCCTCGGCGGGGGGTTCGCCCCCCCCCCCCAGTCTCCCAGATCACGGCGGGGCCGGGCCGGGCCGGGGCTTTCTCCGTTAACAGGAAATAGGATGAACGACGACGACGTTCGGTTCCTGCATTTCCCACCCGCGGCTCAGATCCACTCCGCCTCCATAGGCGACCGGGATGCCCGCAGGCGGTCCGGAGCCTCGGGAGAGCTCACGTGGACGCCGAGAGCCAGCCCAAACCCAGGCAGCCCGCCGAAGCCCGAGCCCGTCGGGGGAGAGAGCTGCCGGGCAACCTCGCGCCTCCGCCCCCGGAGCCGCCAACGCGTGATCGCGACCCCGGCCGGGCGGCGGCGTGGGGAGGGGGGCGAGGCGGGACGCCCCCGCCCCCAGCACTTTCCTCAGCCCGCCTCGCTCTCCGCTTCCCCAGCTGCAACCCTTCGTTTGCGACGACTCTCCGCCCAAGGTGCAGGAGACGAAGTCCACAGGACGCGGCTTCCCCTCTGCCCTCCGACCCCGGAGCGGGAACTCACCAGTTTCATACTGGACTTTCGGTTGTTGTGTCAGCCGTCCAACTCCCCAAACCTAGGGAGCGCCTTCCGGTTCGTTCTCCGTCGCCGGCCGCGGAGTGCATCGCGGGATTTGCAGTCTTTTTCCCTCCTAACGCCCCCTTTAGGGGCATCTTGGGAAATGTAGTACTTCCCGAGCACTCTGGGAACTGTGGTCGCCTTTCCTTTCCTCCCTTTTCCTCTCAAAACACCTCCTTCCGTCAACTTAAATTCATCCCCGCCGCCAATTCATCCTCTCTCCACCCCAACTGATATCTCGTTCCCCTTACGGGCCGTTCACCCATGGTATTCTGGGATTTGTAGTCCCTACAGCAACGTATTCCCCTTTCCCCTCTCTCTGGGGGAAGGCGTGTGGGCGCGGCACCTGCCGGGAATTGTAGTTCTCTGGGGCCTTTAGACACGGGGCTCTGCGCTTTTACTCCAGGGAGGCAGAAACTACAACTCCCAGGGACGCCCGACTGCAGCAGGTGGGAGCGGGGCTGTTGATATCAATATGGCGGTTGTCAGCCAGACAAAGACAGTCAGTCTGATGTGATTGAGACAAGGGAGGTTTTCAGGGGGGAGACTGGGAGAGTGGGGCCTCCCCTCCCCCTTCTCCTCTTCCTGTGCGGGCCTCCAGCCCTCCCCAACCCCTCCCGACGGGCGCCCCGCACGGAAGGCACCCCTCCCCCTCCCGCTTCCCTCCTTCCGCCTCAGCCCTTCGCGCTGGGACGCTGGGGAGGGGGCTGTGCGGGGCGAGAGAACTCAGCGCGGTTCCGAGGTGAGTCGGGCGGGTTGGAAGCAGGTCTGCCTCACGTCCGGTCCCCACTTCTTTCCCTTCACTTTGAGGAAGAACATATGCCTCGGTAGGGGGGAGAAAGTGAGTGGGCGCCCGGGAGGGGGTCTCGGGGCGCCCGGCGGGAGGGGAGGGAGGCAGCGGGGGCCCCGAGCGGGGCACCGGCGACGCGGCTTGGGGTGGGGCAGTCGGTGAGGGGCCGTCTCGGAGAGGCGTCGACGGCTCCCCAACTCCTGTCTGCGGGCTTCTCGCACGGTGGGCGGAAGGTTTGAATCGTGGAGGTGGGGTCTCCTGCCCGGAGTTGGGGAAACTGCGGGGCGGGTTCCGAGGTGCGTGGGTTGTTTGCGGGGTGGACTGGCGCGTTCCGCCGCGTGACGCGCACTCGCCTGCCGTGCCCGTCTGGCAGGAATGCCCGGCGACGGCAAGTTCGGGAGTGCGCATCGGCGTTGGTGGGCCCGGGCTGAGCAGCGTGCCCGGGGGTCCCGGTCCCGGACGTCTGGGCTCGGGGACGTGGTGCGGGGGAGCGGGGCTCCGCAACTCGCTCGCGTCCCGTGGTCCGCGCTCTCCGCCCCCTCCCCCGGCCCGATCTCCACCCCAAACTCCAGACCCGAGGACCGAGGGCGGTGTGGGCTGGAGAAGGAGCTTTGCTCCCCGAGTCTCTGGGTGGGGGAGAGAATGAATGTTTCTTAATATTTTATTCCGGAACTGTGTTTTGGTGACACTGTCGGGGCTACTTGGAAAAGAGTCCTCCACCCACCTTCGCCCCCAAAACAGGTAGAGGTATCTTGTCATCCTCCCGTTCTGTAGATTGAGGAGTACTTACAATTCGGAGGTCGGGAGTGCTCCACTGCGGCGGCCGCTCCGTCTTCCCGGGTCAGAAGGTCTGTCGTGGCTGGTAGAAGGAGACTTATTTTCGTAGTAGGGAAAACTGTTGGGAATGATTTGCGGGGAAGAGGCTGGCGGTGCCCTAAAAGGCGCTGCTCGTGTTTTTCTTCTACCCCACCCAGTTCTGCTCACATTGGCCTGAAAGCCGCTACGGAGCGGCGAGGAAGCCCGGGTGAGTGAGGGGGAAAGCGCAGTTGGAAGTCAAGATACTACTCTGTGTAAAGTTACGGATGCAAAGTGATTGCTGTTTTTATTTAGTCTGGAGCTTTATAAAAAAGCACCCATGCATCATACGGGGTAGAGTGATAGGACTAGTTCATTCCTCTGAGATCTTGTAGGTTTAGACTCCCTTCCTTCTTTCCTTCCTTCCTTCCTTCCTTCCTTCCTTCCTTATTTTCTTCCTTCCTTCCTTATTTTCTTCCTTCCCTCCCTCCCTTCCTTCCTTCCTTTCCCTTTCCCTTCCTTCCTTCTCTTCAGTTCTGATAGAATATCTCCTGCACCTTTTCAGTCGACTTTATACTAATATTTCGGTTATGCTTTTTGTGATCTTACCATAAAATGAAACACTATAGGAAAAGGACCTGCATTTGTTTTTGCAGCTTAGGCCACAGGTAACGATCTCATCCGGTTTGTAGTGATTGCTGGTACGCTTGCCATAATTGCACAAGTCAGTTGCTAGACCTCCTTGAATTGTGTCTGCAAAATCAAGTCTGGGAAATTTGATCTTTTTAAAAATTTTCTATTACAGTTAATGACAAAAATGGTCTTTAACACCAGGGGAATTTAGGATCTTACCTTTTTTACTTTGATAACCCTTAGGTGGGAGGTTTTGTGTGTGTGTGTGTGTGTGTGTGTGTATGTATGTATGTATGTATGTATGTAATAGCCTATTGAATAACTAAAGGAATTGACATAATTTTTGTTTTGACTGTGGGTAAGTTAATGTGATTACCTATTTTGTACAGACCTTATCAACTCTTGAATATGCCACTTAGAAGTGAGAGACCTTTAGATTCCATAAAAACTGAAAGTTACATAGATGTACTATGTAATTTTATGACCTTTGAAGTTCTGCAGTTGGTCATTCAGAGAGATAAGGTATTGTTGTGGAAAATACTCTGGGAAGAAGTTGGAGAACTCAGGTTTATTATACAGGCCGCCCAGGGGAGTTTCCTACTCCCAAAGTCTGAGCGCTGGCCATCAGGACTATAGTTCTTTGGGTTTCAGGTTTTAGTTCTGGGTTTTGAGTTTTGGTTTACCCTAAGGGTTACTGTTTCTAGAAAGTTACTTGAAGCATAAAAGTCAAGCTCGTTCTGGTCAAGCTGGTTCTGACAATAACAGGCTTTTCCTTACCAGGTTGACCTAGTTCTGATAATGGCAGGATTGAGCTAGTTCTAATAATGATAGGTTTTCCTTCTCATATAAGCCTGAGATAGGAAAAATAGGTAGGTAGGTAAGTAGGTAGAGAGGTAGAGAGTCAGTCAGACAGACAGACAGACCTGAAGAGAATAAGTACTCATGTGTTTTCTAAGTCTTGAATTTAAAATACAGAATATGATGCTCTAGACCTGTCGTTGGTTTGCTAGAGACGTGATTTCTGGAATTACCTGTTTTAAGCTTTATTATGATCTGAAATTCTACTTTGCAAAAACTGGATAAAAGCTTTATGTAACTACATAATAGAGAGTTACTTTTTTGTGAAACATTCTGATAGTCTTGGAACTTTAAAATGTTTAATAATTACCTGCAAAATATAAAACTAAAATGGTTTCATCTCCCCATCATCCCTCAAAATGTCTTTTTCTTTTCACCTCTGGAACTGCTAAGTTACTTAGGGAAAAACATTCATTAAAGTTTTTCTGACTAATAGTTGGGTCAAAATCATTCATTACATGTAAGCCGAATATATTCTTTGCCTTCATTGGGCTGATTCTGTTGCATTTTAAGCACTAGGGCATTAAAGTGATATAAAGCTTTTACTGCAGGTTAAAACATAAAGCATTCTCAGCATGTAGAAGTCTTATGGTTTGTGAAAAAATTAGAAAACCAGTCAATGGTGCCTGTCCATCTTAAAATTTCCTCCTGTAACTGTGAAGATACATTTATTTTGAATATGATTGCTTTTAGAAACGCCTGTATTAAGGGGAAATTGGAAATCTGGCTGTTTTTGTAACTAGGCTGTTACTAGTTTGGGGTACCATGTACACTGAATGTTCTTTGGTCACAAATGTTCATCAAGGAAAGGAACCTTCGCGTTAGGCGGAATGCCTTCAGTGAGGCTTCTTTTTCACTGGCAGATTTTAGTCTTTTAGCCCAAATCTTTAGTTTCAGTACTAGTAATACAATAGTTTAGTATTTGTAAGTTGTAAGATCTATTGCAACAAATCTCTCATTGTTTCATCTGACAGTTTTTGTATCAACTGTTGATTGGAATTCCATTGCATCTTTTTCAGTACATATTGAATCCATTGGGAATTTTCATCTTAATTTGTTACTTCAGTCCATCCAGACTTTTAATATATGGGATGGCTACTAGGTTTCCAGTAAAAGCCTGTTTGCTTTTTCTGTTCATTTTATTGCAGCCCTTGATTCTATTACTTTTTGTATGCAGTTCTTTAAACTTATTCCTCTTAGGAATTAGAAATTTATCCTAGAATATTATTTTTCATAAATGAAAGTTGGTATATTACCCAACTTAAAAAAATGGACATTTATAGATGAAAGTGTTCTGTGAAAATGTGTTGTGTTTTATTTTCTTGTTTTACTTTTTTATTAGCTTTCATATTCCTACTTTGCATTCTTTGGCTAGATTCTTCTGTTAACTGCTCTCTTTTTCTTTTCAGTTTAGAACTTTATATAAAAAATTATTAGTGGAAAGCATAGCTTGTCTAAATTGTCTTATGTGTATGCCTACATGTGCACTCATACATCTGAAAGCATCTTTATGTTTCTTTACACATCTATTAGATGTATAGCCTATAAAAGTCAATGTGAGCCACACATTGCAGGATCCAAGTCATTCTTTCCACATGATAGAAACTTTGGCAGTTTTTACTTTCTCCATAAACCATTATTTTAACAGATTATAACAATATAGTTCTCTGAAAATGTGAACTGTCAATTTGAAAGTTTTCTCAAAGTAATATTAATATTAAGTAATCATTATGTATGACTTAAATTCCTAGGTGTAGCTATTCTTTAGCTTTTACTAGACTTAGAATCTGTTGTATGTGCAGAGTAAAGATTTTTCCAAGTGATTATGTGATGTGAAACT